AGGCTCAAGTATACTGAAATCAACAAAAGGCTTTTCTGCTGATTCTTCAACCCAATGATCCTGCTAACATCTGACTTTTCATTCAGTGGTCAGTTGAACCCCAGTAATTGTGCCACTTCCGTCATTTCATTATGCCTGGGCCATGCGTAGGGGGAAATCTTTAGGTCCCTGAAACACATTGACTGTCTGTTGTCTATTCCAAGGTTTGTATTGCTGCCTGTGCCCCTCTTGGTGAAACAATCTTGTCCCGGTGTCCATCGTTGAGAACACCTGGCTCACAATCGGTCTTCCAATTCATCCCAAAGGTGTTCAGGAGGGTTGAGGTCAGGGCTCTGTGCAGGACACTTGAGTTCCTCCACACCAAACTGGTCAAACTATGACAAAATCTTGGTGGGGCTCTGTAGGAATTTGTGCCCATTTGGGAGGTCAAGTGCTGATTTTGGATGAGAAGACCTGGCTCACCATTGGCATTCAAATTCATCCCAAGGGTGTTCAGAAGGGTTGAAGTCAGGGCTCTGTGCAGGATACTTGAGTTCCTCCACACGAAACTGGTCAAACTAAGACAAAATCTTGGTGGGGCTTTGCAAGAATTTGTGCCCAATTGTGAGGACAAATGCTGATGTTGGATGAGAAGACCTGGCTCACCATTGGCATTCAAATTCATCCCAAAGGTGTTCAGAAGGGTTGAGGTCAGGGCTCTGTAGAAGATACTCGAGTTCCCCCAAACAGGTCAAATCAGGTCACCCTTCTGTAAGGGAAAAAGAATAGTGGTAGGGAACGGTTCCAGATGAGTACAGACTCGCCATCCTCCCTGGAAACATCGCGTTTAGGCCGTGTTCTGCCCTCTGAGGTGTCTGTGGGAATTTGTGCCCATTTGTGAGGTCAGGTACTGATGTTGGATAAGAAGACCTGGCTCACCATTGGCATTCAAATTCATCCCAAAGGTGTTCAGAAGGGTTGAGGTCAGGGCTCTGTAGAGGAACTCGTGTTCCTCCAAACAGGACAAACCATGTCCTTACGGAGCTGGCTTTGTACACAGGGGCACAGTCACGGTGGAAAAGAAAAGGGTCTTCACCAAACTGTTACCACAAGGTTGGAAGAGCACAATTGTCTACAACGTTCTTGTACGATGGAGGGTTATAACACATGAGCACCATCATTTGGAGGGGTGTCCACAGACTTTTTACAATGTAATCTTTTCTTTTTGAAAATACTGTTTTCACCTTTTTTCATCCTTTCTTACATCTCAGTGCTCCTGATCACCTGCATCCTCTTTTCAGCCACTTTATGTTTGCATGCACTCCAGCGATGGCTGCATGACATTTTTCCGGATGGTTTTCTTGATGGTAACAGAGACAGAAAGTTGTTGTCCTATAACAGGAACTGCTTCAACATGGACCTTCTTGGCAGTACCAGAGAGGATTATTTTAATGAAAGCTGCGGGGGGGGGGGAGGTCAGGATGGAATTACTGGTGGATCAACTTGGACCACGCTTCATAGAGTTCCTTTTTTCCTTCCACTATGGGTACAGGATTTTGTATATGGAGGTTACATAGTTAGTCTGGTTGAAAAAAACATTTCAAAACCAGTTCAATCATTAAAAAAAAAAAGTTATAATCCGACATCCACAGTTGATCCAGAGGAAGGCAAAAACCCAGCAAAGCACGATCCAATCTGCTCCTGCAGGGGAAAAGATTCCTTCCTGATCCCCCGAGAGGCAATCAGATATTCCCGGGATCACCTTTCCCTATAAATGTTATATCCAGTTATATTCTGTGTATCCAAGAAAGAAACCAGGACTTTCCTACAGCAATCCACTGAGCTGGCCACAACCAACTCTGGAGGGAGTCTATTCCACATTCTCACAGCTCTCACTGTGAAGAAACCTTTCCGTGTTTGGAGATTACATTTCTTTTACTCCAGACGGAGGTCTCCTATATATTTATTTATTGCATTTATTGGTTGAGCTAGATCAGTGGTCTCCAAACTGCGGCACGAGGGCCGGATCTGGCCCTTGGGGCACTATTCCACTAACTGACACCATTGTTGGGGCACTATTCCACCAACTGACACCATTGTTGGGGAAATATTCCACCAACCGACACCATAGTTGGGGACTATTCCACCAACCGACACCATTGTTGGGGAACTATTCCACCAATCGACACCATTGTTGGGGCACTATTCCACCAACCGACACCATTGTTGGGGCACTATTCCACCAACTGACACCATTGTTGGGGAACTATCCCACCAACCGATACCATTGTTGGGGCACTATTCCACCAACTGACACCATTGTTGGGGAACTATTCCACCAACCGACACCATTGTTGGGGCACTATTCCACCAACCGACACCATTCTTGGAGCACTATTCCACCAACCGAAACCATTGTTGGGGCACTATTCCACCAACTGACACCATTGTTGGGGCATTATTCCACCAACTGACACCATTGTTGGGGCACTATTCCACCAACCGACACCATTGTTGGGGCACTATTCCACCAACCGACACCATTGTTGGGGCACTATTCCACCAACCGACACCATTGTTGGGGCACTATTCCACCAACCGACACCATTGTTGGGGCACTATTCCACCAACTGACACCATTGTTGTGGAACTATTCCACCAACCGACACCATTGTTGGGGAACTATTCCACTAACCGACACCATTGTTGTGGAACTATTCCACCAACCGACACCATTGTTGGGGAACTATTCCACCAACCGACACCATTGTTGGGGCACTATTCCACCAACCGACACCATTGTTGGGGCACTATTCCACCAACCGACACCATTGTTGGGGCACTATTCCACCAAATGACACTATTCCACCAACCGACACCATTGTTGGGGAACTATTCCACCAACCGACACCATTGTTGGGGCACTATTCCACCAACCGACACCATTGTTGGGGCACTATTCCACCAAATGACACTATTCCACCAACTGACACCATTGTTGGGGCACTATTCCACCAACCGACACCATTGTTGGGGCACTATGCTTTCCACTGATACCTACAATGGGGCTCTATTCCCTCCATTCAGACCAATGATGGGGCAGTTTCTACTCCCACTGGCCACAGTCCGGCCCCCCTAAAGTCCGAAGGACAGTAAACTGGCCCTCTGCTTGGAAAGTTTGGAGACCCCCTGAGCTAGATGGATTTTTCGGCCTGATTAACTATGTAACAATTTTAGCGATTGGGTTGACATGTAATTTGTTGTCCTCATCACATGTCGTCCTTCAACAATTGCAGATCTTCTGGATTTTTATGTGTTGGTCCAAAGCTACAATGTAGCCCCTTCCGTAGTTTATTTTATTTATTTATCAGGTTTTTATTTCATAAAGAAAGGACCAATGAGGACTTAACAAAAAAAAAAGGTTGAATCAGCTGCGGATGGCGATGGGATTTCTTGCGCCATGTGACACATAAAGCTTGGTTTGTTTGCTTTGGGCCGTTGCCTCAGCCTTGTTTCGGCATTTGGAGTCCGGCCGTGATGTGTAAAGCCCGGTAACCCCCAGAGAGCCATTGCTGACCGACCTTCTCTGATACGGCTTCAGGGAGCTGAGATCTGATTGATGGATCGGTTACTGAACTTGGCACTTCAGGGAGCTGAGATCTGATTGGTGGATCGGTTACTGAACTTGGCGCTTCAAGGTCGCTCTCTGCATCGACTTTGCTGTATAAGCAAGACTCCCACAAATGCCAAAAGTCGATGTTCTAAGGTTAGGGCGTATCTAATCAGGAACATCGTCATCTCAGAGAAGCTTTAACGTGTCCATGTCACTTTCCGCATCTTATTAATATAATCCCGTTATATAGCGACAACGCTCCTTTCCTTTCTGCCAAATGTGCTCCTGCGTTGTCACCCTGTCATATGGGTTTCCAGCAGACTTTGCGAGTGGCCATTTCTGAACAAATTACGCAGACACGATCCACTGTTGTCACCGTCAGGAAACCCAGCCCTGAGAAATGCCGCGCAGCCGTCACTGGAGTGCATGGAGGCAGGAAGTGGCTGTAAAAAGGCGGCTGGAGATCCGCATCCTCAAAGCCCATACTGCTGGGTGTCGAAGCCAAAATGAACTGTCAGGTTAAACCCGCAAAATACATTTAAGTTGCTTCAAAACAAAAGGTGTGCAAAGTCTTGCAGTTCATTTGCTTTAGAAAGCAGCCACAGCCGGAGTAGAAAAGCCTGTCCAGGGAATGCTGTAGAGAAGAGACCTTGCACTCCGTGTGGAAGCAGTGGTCCCTCTGCAGAGGTTCCATATGCCCCCCTCCCCCCCCGCAGAGTGAAGCCTTTGGCTCTCCGATCCACGGGGAGCATGAGCTTTAGGACAGCTAATAAACTCACGTTCAGGAGGTGTTCAGCAATTTTATCAGCAGCCCCTGAACCCCCCCTAATGTTCTCCTGTCTGAACACATCGTCCTTTACAGCCGTTTACAGGCATTTCAGTTTACAGTCGTTTTTTTTAATGCAGCAAACTTGCGTTCAGCAGTCGATTTTATCTGCATTTCGAAACACTTGTAAACGCGGCAAATTGCATTTTTAAGCGTTTGCTACATTTTTTTAAGCTCTTCCAGTTCCTGATGCTGTCCAGAGCCTTTTTTCATGATGAAAAATGCATGCAAAGCGTTTTCAAGGTACTCAAATGGACAAAACACTGAACACAGGATGTTCCTACCAAGCTTGTCACACATTGTAATGACCAATTCACGCCTCAGACCTCTCCCACCCTTGGAAACAAAAGATATGTTAATGACCAATTCACACCTCAGACCTCTCCCACCCTTGGAAACAAAAGATATGTTAATGACCAATTCACACCTCAGACCTCTCCCACCCTTGGAAACAAAAGATATGTTAATAACCAATTCACACCTCAGACCTCTCCCACCCTTGGAAACAAAAGAAATGTTAATGACCAATTCACACCTCAGACCTCTCCCACCCTTGGAAACAAAAGATATGTTAATAACCAATTCACACCTCAGACCTCTCCTACCCTTGGAAACAAAAGATATGTTAATGACCATTCACACCTCAGACCTCTCCCACCCTTGGAAACAAAAGATATGTTAATGACCATTCACACCTCAGACCTCTCCCACTCTTGGAAACAAAAGATATGTTAATGACCATTCACACCTCAGACCTCTCCCACCCTTGGAAACAAAAGATATGTTAATGACCAATTCACACCTCAGACCTCTCCCACTCTTGGAAACAAAAGATATGTTAATGACCATTCACACGTCAGACCTCTCTCACTCTTGGAAACAAAAGATATGTTAATGACAAATTCACACCTTAGACCTCTCCCACCCTTGGAAACAAAAGATATGTTAATGACCAATTCACACCTCAGACCTCTTGTCAAGGTCCTACCTTTCCTCAGAGATTGTGCATCTCCATGTGCTGGCATCCATCTTAGGTTTCTGCAAAGCATGGTGGGAACCTTTATGCCTTAAGGCCTCTGCGGCTCCTCCCCCAGAGGGGTGTGGTTGATCACATTTAAGCCTGTTGTCTGCACTTGCTCTCTGCATTCGTGTCCTGTATGTTCCCGTGTCTCAAGCTCTTGTTCTGTTCTCATTGCTCTCCTGGTAACCGACTCGGCTTGGACAAGACTATTCTCTGCTTTAACCGTTTACTTGACCTCCCGTTGCTGAACCCGGCCCGTGACCTGAGTATTCTTTGCCTACCGTCTTGTACTGTCTGCTCCGTTGTTATAGACCCGGCCTGTCTGACCACGCTACACGTGTTCCCATCTGGCTCCCACCAGCTGTACGCCATTGGCTGCAGTCCTTACCGCAGCTGGGGTCACTCGGGGGCCACGACCTGGTCTCAGGCTGCGTCAAGTCCATCCCCACCATCAGGGGCTCTGGTGAAGGGTAGCCTGGTGCTTAGACTCCGCGCCCTGAGGGACTCTGGTCTGTGGGTAGTGGCTGTCGTCAGTCGCTGTGTGACCTTACCATAGGCCTGCCTGCCCATTCCATCGTTCCTGCCCTGAGACCTCTCCCACTCTTGGAAACAAAAGATATGTTAATGCACATTCACACCTCAGACCTCTCCCACCCTTGGAAACAAAAGATATGTTAATGAGCAACTCACACCTCAGACCTCTCCCAGCCTTGGAAACAAAAGATATGTTAATGACCATTCACACCTCAGACCTCTCCCACCCTTGGAAACAAAAGATATGTTAATGAGCAACTCACACCTCAGACCTCTCCCAGCCTTGGAAACAAAAGATATGTTAATGAGCAACTCACACCTCAGACCTCTCCCACCCTTGGAAACAAAAGATATGTTAATGACCATTCACACCTCAGACCTCTCCCACCCTTGGAAATAAAAGATATGTTAATGAGCAACTCACACCTCAGACCTCTCCCACCCTTGGAAACAAAAGATATGTTAATGACCATTCACACCTCAGACCTCTCCCACCCTTGGAAACAAAAGATATGTTAATGACCATTCACACCTCAGACCTCTCCCACCCTTGGAAACAAAAGATATGTTAATGAGCAACTCACACCTAATTATCTCAACACATACTGCTGTCTCTGCTTCTACTCTCTGTATTTCTCTGAAACAGTCTGAAAGAGTTGATAATTTACCACTTTTCAGTGCATTCTGGGCACTTGGGAGGTTCTCCTGTGCTTAGCTTTAAAAAACGCTTCTAAACGAAAACGCACATAAACGCGGTATGCAACCATGGCTAAACAGACGTTTTTTAACCTCCGTTTCCCAGCAGTCAGTTTCCATCGTTCAGAAGTGTCCCGTGTACATGGGGCCTTACTGATTGGAGAGTTTAGCTGTGACTCAGCATGGAAGTGTCAAGACCTCTGCACATAGACCGCTGCTTCCACACACACACAGCAGCAGCATCATGCTGGCGGGACACAAGCTTTCCTACACAGGCTGTGGCTGCTTTCCAAAGAAAACCAACTGGAGGAATTTGCACGCCTTTTGTTTCGATGTTCCTGGAATGTATTTTGCTGATTTAGAATGAAATTTCAGCATGCGGCTGTGATGTACAGAACATTATAAATTGTATGCATTGTAATAATATATTTATTATCGGTACTTATATATCGCCGTCAATTTACACCGCGCTTTACATATATATATTGTACATTCACATCAGTCCCCGCCCCCGAGGAGCGTACAGTCTAAGGTCCCTAACTCACATTCATACATATACATACTAGGGCCAATTTAGACAGGAGCCAATTAACCTACCAGCATGTCTTTGGAGTGTAGGAGGAAACCGGAGTACCTGGAGGAAACCCATGCAGGCTTTACATATATATTGTACATTCACATCAGTCCCCACCCCCGAGGAGCGTACAATCTAAGGTCCCTAGCTTACATTCATACATATACATACTAGGGACAATTTAGACAGGAGCCAATTAACCTACCAGCATGTCTTTGGAGTGTAGGAGGAAACCGGAGTACCTGGAGGAAACCCATGCAGGCTTTACATATATATTGTACATTCACATCAGTCCCCACCCCCGAGGAGCGTACAATCTAAGGTCCCTAGCTTACATTCATACATATACATACTAGGGCCAATTTAGACAGGAGCCAATTAACCTCCCAGCATGTCTTTGGAGTGTTGGAGGAAACCGGAGTACCCGGAGGAAACCCACGCAGGCACAGGGAGAACATACAAACTCCGGGCAGGTGTTGCCATGGTTGGGATTCAAACCAGCAACCCGAGTACTGTCAGGGGGAAATGCTAACCATTTAGCCACTACAGTATATTGAGATTTCCTCTTATACATCCCACACGGAAGAAAAATATATTTTAAATATATTCTTCCCAAATATATTGACATATATTTGAAATACTACAATTTTGACCATATTCAATATATTTCAAAATATATTTAAATTTAAAAAAAAATGTATATATATATATATATATATATACTGTATGTTGAATTGCATTTTTATTACAAAATATATGAAAAATATTTTGAAAAATACATTTTCAAATACACTATATGTCTTTAAAAATACATTTAATCTAAATATTTTTGGAATGCATTTACAAATATACCGTATGTAAAAATATATGTTAAGCAGACTTTTTTATATGTTAAAAATATCTGAAGAGTATATTGTAAAAAAAATATTTTTAATATATATATCATATATTTTGTGGTTATAAAAAATGCATTTCAACATATATATATATATTTTTTTCTTCCATGTGGGATGTTTTGTGGTGCTGCACTTTCCCCGTACCGTATCCTCTCCCTTCAAGTCTCCCAGACCGGGTCTGCCCAACTGAAAAGGGAAGACTAATGCAGGCCATAGACGGGTCGAAAACCAGACGTTTTTTTTTAAAAAAAACGAACAATCGGTCGTTCAATAGGCTGACGTTATCACCAATGGTAAAAAAAAAAATCGGCCGATTTTCGTCCCGTCTGCGGCCGGCATTTAATTACTTCTGTCCCTGCAGAGAGCTCCGCTATTATATTTGACATGAAAAAGTCTTGCGGTTGCAACAATGTATCCATTTGTAATCATTTCGGATACAGAAGGTTTTATTCGGATACAAATGGATACATTGTTGCAACCGCAAGACTTTTTCATGTCAAATATAAAAGCGGACTGGAATTCTTTTTCTTCCTCTATTTCTTCTTTTTCTTCTTTTCTTCTTTTTCTTCTTCTTGCAGGTCACGGCTCATGCGCAGATTTTTTATCGGTAAAAAGATCGGCCGATTTGCCCATCATTGCCGGGAAAATCGGCCAATCGGCAAAATAAGATGATTTTGTTCCAACTCCACCAATAAAAAAAATGTGCCAAAACCTGCAAAAAAGGCCGACCAATTAACCCACTAACGGTGTGAAAATCAGCCGATTTTCAACCCGTCTATGGCCTGCATAAGGCTGGCCATACACTAAACAATTTTCTGTCCAATTTCCTTTAGATTTGCCTTCAGCTATCTAGTGCTAGAGCCGGCCTGATTGGATGCAATTGAAAGTGTTGTTCGTTTTGACCTCCTATTATATGGTTCTTGGTAAATCTAAACCAAAAATCTTAAGAAAATTGTATAAATGTATGGCCAGCCTTAAGGGATGAAATATTTCCAATCAGAGGTCATGTGATCCGGGATGCCTAGGCCGCAGGTCACATGATGATGTTCAGGATTGGTCAGAACAATAATGTGAGTTGGCGATGTTTTATGGATTGGCGTGCGTTGTGATGACAGGTCCTCTTTAACACGTTGACCTACACTTGTACCGTCTCCCCTCGTTCCTCCGGGGAAAATCGCATCCACTTCTCGCTCAGCCACTACCGACGAAATTAAATAATTGATGGTAAAAGTAAATGTGTGTTCTGACATTAGTGATTCAATTCTGCACATTTCAGTTGGTAGACGGAGGTGGGGGATGGGGTGGGGGGGGTTATGCTGAGTCCCCCAGTTTTCTGGAGAATATTCTGCTCCTGGTCTCCAAGAAACCCCAATACGAGGTCAGACACCCGGCGCCCACCTCCAGTGTCCTGGCTCACCCCCGGAATGTGGGCACACCGCGCCCCCACGTGCCCGCACCCCTCCCCCGGAGGATGCCAAGCTGGAAGGGTTAAGAGGCGTTTGTAGAAGCGGGGAGGAAGAACTCTCTGCGTGTCCTTTAATTAAGTCTCATTAGCGGGATCCAGCTGCTTTTCACTCCGTCTTCCCCCTGCATGGATTACACACCCGATTACACAGATGCCCCCCACCTCAGCCCCGCCGCTGCCTTCACTAGGGAAACCAGATGCACCCGGGAAAAGATTTTAACTTCTTGAGGGCTCTCTGCGCCATTTCCATCCAGAGACAAAATGGAGGCCCATCCGCCGGAATCCAGAGAGCAGAGAGACACGGGCCGGCCACTGGCCACATGGAGGATGGGGGCAACTGGGCCTCAGGGTGATCCTCTTCATGCTCTCCATAAATTCCAGCTAGATTACATAGATTACATGGGATCCAATCAGATGACACAGGATCCAATCAGATTTCACAGGGCCTTTCCAGATTACCTTACATCCAGTCAGATAACAAAGGATCCAATCAGATGACATGGGATCCAATCAGATGACACAGGATCCAATCAGATTACACAGGACCTTTCCAGATTACCTCACATCCAGTCAGATAACAAAGGATCCAATCAGATGACATGGGATCCAATCAGATGACACAGGATCCAATCAGATGACACAGGACCTTTCCAGATTACCTCACATCCAGTCAGATAACAAAGGATCCAATCAGATGACATGGAATCCAATCAGATGACACAGGATCCAATCAGATGACACAGGACCTTTCCAGATTACCTCACATCCAGTCAGATAACAAAGGATCCAATCAGATGACATGGGATCCAATCAGATGACACAGGATCCAATCAGATGACACAGGACCTTTCCAGATTACCTCACATCCAGTCAGATAACAAAGGATCCAATCAGATGACATGGAATCCAATCAGATGACATGGGATCCAATCAGATGACAAAGGATCCAATCAGATGTCATGGAATCCCATCAGATGGCTTCGGATCCAATCAGATTATGCAGGATTTTTCCAGATTACCTTACATCCAGTCAGATGATGAAGGATCCAATCAGATGACTTTGGGATCCAATCAGATTACACAGGACCTTTCCAGGTTACTTAGTATCCAGCAGGATGATGTAGGATCAAGCCAGATGACACAGGATCCAATCAGATTATACAGAATTTAACCAGATGATATACCATCCAATCAGATGACATAGGATGACATAGGGTCCAATCAAGTGCCATAGGATCCAATCATATTACACAAGACCTGGTCGGATTACACAAGACCCCTGCAGATTACCAAGCATCCAATCAGATGACGTAGGATCCAATCAGATAACATAGCATCCAATCAGATGACGTAGGATCCAATCAGATGACGTAGCATCCAATCAGATGACGTAGGATCCAATCAGATAACATAGCATCCAATCAGATGACGTAGGATCCAATCAGATGACGTAGGATCCATTAAGGTTTAACAGAGCCAAAGCAGATCACCTAGCATCCAATCACATAACAAAGGATCCAATCAGATGATGTAGGATCTAGCCATATTACACAGGGTCCAGCCAGATTATACATGATCTGCCCAAATTACACAAAATCCCTGAAGATTACCTATCATCCAATCCGAAGACATGGGATCCAATCATATTACATAAAACCTGTCTAGATTAAGACAGAATTCACAAGATCCACTCAGATTACATGGGATCCAGCCAGAATACACAGGATCTGTCCGAAGCAGGGGCGAACTGACAACTCATGGGGCCCCCAGACAATAGGGGATCATGGGGCCCCTGTGTCCTCACCCAAACTCAAACCACGTCCAAAAAAGCCTATGAAAGGTACCAGGGGAATGTCATGGGGCCCCCAACTGACCCCGGGCTGTCGGGCAGTGCCCGAGTGTCTGAATGGTCAGTCCGCCCCTGGTCCGC